ATTATAATCAATAATACAAAAGAATAATTTTGTTCAATTTGTTTAGTTATAGTATGGTTAATTTTATTATGTTGTTTTAATAAACAAATTAAATTAAATAAACAATATTTATACTATATCGTTTTACTATATATTTATAATTGTTTAACTATATATTTTAACTAATGTTTTAAATAGAGACCGAGGATGAGGGGAGTTTTAAATTCATTTTGCCAAAAAAATATTTCAGTGCAAAAAAGCAATTCTTGCCGAATCATGTATATTTACAATAAATAGGTACATTTTTCGAACTTTAGATTTATTTACAAAAATTTTAGGCACAATTTATTTGAGATATAATACATTTATTTTCAATTTAGTCATCATTTAAATTTGTCAGTATGAATTATAAAATTATTTCGACCAATTTTAAATACAGTAAAATCTCTTATTAGTTTATTCCCTTATAAAAAGAATTTTTTCATTATAAAATGTTTCAACCAAACAATATTAAAAACACTTATTAGGGAAGAAAATAATTTCATGACCACTATTGAGGGGTTCTATTTTTCATTTAATCTATTAATGAGAGGTTTTACTGTAAACATTTTTTTACAATTTCAAACTTGTAAATTTAATATTTTTTCCAATTTAATTGTTTAATTAAACAAAAACAACATGTTTACTTTACCAAATATCAATAGATGAGAACAAAGGAGAATTTGAATTACACTCGAAATGCACCAATATCAACCAGTCATTCCAATTCGATAACATCATCAAAGCATTCCATTCATTGAAAAAAATGAAAAAGACCTCCAAAAATACTACTTTGCAAATTTCTACAATACCATTAAAAGCGCGAATACACACGTTTTACAAACTCAAAAAAAGAATCGTTTGTTTAACGAATGGAAAACTCGTGGTGATGATTGGTCATTTAATTAACACTTTTTTATAATTTAAATGATGACTAAATTGAAAATAAATGTATTATATCTCAAATAAATTGTGCCTAAAATTTTTGTAAATAAATCTAAAGTTCGAAAAATGTACCTATTTACCGTAAATATACCTAATGTTTTGGTAATTCAACCTATTATTATTATAATAATACCTCGAATAATAATAATAAAATCTTATTTAACAAAAATATTACCTCATTATGGTAATTATTCCTAATTAACAAAAATTATATCTAATTTATTATAATCAATCTATTGTATTAAAAAAACATCCTTTTTAACAAAAAACCTAACTAATATTATAAAAAATGACTAATTCAGTCGAAAAAACATCCTTTTTAAACAAACTCCGACTGTATAATAAAAATAATTAAATACTGAAATAGATTTGTAAATTAATTGAATGATTCAGTTAAGTTTGTTTCTTTTCTTTTTGGAATTTCTCTGAGCTGACATTGTTTTCATCAATCTATTAGTTTCTTTTGCAACACTTTTTCTTTTTTTTAATTTGGGTGCTTTATAATTGTTATTTTGCATTGATAATTCAACATCTTTTAGAAAACACTCGGTTGATTGCCAACTTCGTTTCTCAATTTGAATTTTTTTGTCACTTACAATTGTGTCAAATAAGTTATCTTCTCTGTGTATTAATTTAATTTTCATTTTGTTATAATGTAAATTTACCAAACTCTGTATCTATATGTTGTTCAGTTGATTGTAATTTCTAATTTGTTTTTACTTGTGTTCCATTAATATTTGTGCAATTATTTTCTTGTTCTAATATTTCGATAATTATATTTTCATTATCGACCCCAAGCGCACTTGACTCTGCATCAGATTCAAAAATGGTTCTATTTTCTTTTCTATTTAAAATGATTATACAATCTATTAAAAATTGTTTCGATGTCAAAGGAATTTCACTAAATAACTCTTTTTGTTTTTCTTTAATTGACATATTTTTTTCAGTGGTTTTTTTTTGTTTTGTCGTCGTTTAATTAACTGTGTGTTGTATTGAAAAAATTTGACATCCAATATTTTAGATATTTTTTGAGTTTTTCTATAAAAAAGTGAACATTTGGATGTGTTAACCCACTTAATCTGTTCAAAGCAGAATGAAAGCTTTCTGCGTGATTTGATGTCCTTTCAGCTAATCCATAGACACACCAAAACCGTTTCTTAAAAGCCCCGATTAAATAATTGTTGTTGAAATAAATCAACACGTTGTTTAAATCTTCATCGTTGTTGTCTTTTACAATTTCATCAAATGCGGAATTAATTCTATTTTCTGGAAGATACTGAAAACAGGTTAACTTTTTCACTATAAATTTAAGTTGGTCTCCATCAACACACCTTCTTTTAAGACCAAGATATGAAACCCTTCGAAACAAAGATTGACAGTAATGAAAATGACAACATTTTATTATTGTATCTTTTCCAAAAAGTCTTTTAAAATAAACCTGTTCGAAATCCC